AGGTCGTCGGTGGGAGTCCTAGGCAGCGGAGGGCAGTGGCCAGGCCCCTCACTGGGGAGGAGATGGGCAGGTGGGGCAGGGCCAGCTGCCGGAACCCAGTGGAGCCAGCCAGACACACACAGCAGAGGCTTTGGCCCGACACTGAAAACTCGTCTGAGAAGGTGTCAGAGATGCCACTCCAGAGTCCCGACTAAGGTGTCCAGGGCTGTGTGTGGTACCTGCAGAGCACCGGAACTCACTGCCCGATTTGCATCTCGGGGTGACACTGAAAACTCGTCTGAGAAGGTGTCAGAGATGCCACTCCAGAGTCCCGACTAAGGTGTCCAGGGCTGTGTGTGGTACCTGCAGAGAACCGGAACTCACTGCCCCATTTGCATCTGGGGTTCCCTTAGGTGGCCCAGCCATCACTGTGCATGGCCACAGTGCACTTCCACTGGTCTATTTCAGACACGAGCCCAAGTAATGCTTAGAACTTTCTTTGGAGAGGTTTTTGCTATAGGGCATGTGCGCTCACCAGACAGAGACAGACAGAGAGACAGAAAGCGAGAAATCACCCCCAGGGGGGATGGCCACGCCGCAATCCCTTCTCCTCCATTCTCTTCTTGAGATCTTGGGCACACATGCACATGCACCGGGTGTGAGTTTAAGCCACCAGGTCCGGGACTCAAACCGCGGTCGGCTACATGGGAGTCCAGTGACATAGCCATTATGCTAACTGCTCGTCCCAGTAATACTTAGAACCTTAAAGCTCACAGAGGCCACAGGGGCTGGGTAGGGGTGTCCCCCGGCCACCAGCTCCAGGCCTACATGGCAGTGCTCGGGTTGAAGGTCCCTTGGATGTCACCCTCTAAACTGGGCCTGGGTCAGTGCCGGTGGAAATGTCCAAGGCTCTGCTCTCCAGCCAGGCATGAGGGGACACTGAGTCTGGGGTGGAAGAGGGTGGCAGGCCCTTGGAGGCAACATTCGGCTCAGCCTGGAGAGGGCCAGGAGCAGTGGTAGAGGAGGAATGGAGGCCAGAGCTGCCAGCTCCTCTGCTCTGAGCCTCAGGCTCCTCCAGAAGCAAGGGGCTATGGAAGAGCAGCCCATCGGTGCCGACCCTCGGGCCCTGCATGCTGTTGGTCCTTCCCCTGGGAAGGACCCCCAAAGTTACATGAAATTAGGTCCCTCTTGAGAAGGGATTTGTGGCCTGACAGGGTGAGCTCGAGAGTTGGGTCTTGGAGACGGTGGAGTTGAAGTAGCCTGGGCCCAGAGCTAGCTGTGGGCTGTGGGGGGCCAGGGGTCCTCAAACACACGCGGGCCCGTGGAGCAGGGAGCAGGGCCTCGGGTGCTGCAGCCTGTGCTTTCCCACTGGGAGCCAGGGTGGGGGTGGGGGCAGGCAGGGCAGGGCAGCCCCGTCTGCTCTACGTGGGTGGCAGGGGCCTAGGCCAACCCGTTCTTGTGGGCCTCTTCTGAAGCCTTGGGAGGGAAGGAGCAGCCTGGCACCAAGCCTGGGAGCCTAGGGCAAAACTGAGGGTGAGGAGCCAGATGCAGGAGGCGGGCAGTCAAGGAGCAGCCGCAGGCTCACCGGCAGACAGCAGTGCTCAGACACCCCCGCACACAAGCCCATCGCCGGCCCGAGAGCCAGTGCTCAGCCTCACCTGGCCCTGCCCTCAGGAGGCTGGCCATCCGCTGGGGGGCCCTGGGGCCCGGGCCCAGATGCAGGGGTCTTGGCGATGACCACAGTCTTCAGGTCCTGCAGGGAGGCCCGCAGCTGGTTGTAGACCCGCAGGAAGTGGAACTTCTCGTGCGGCAGCACGAAGATGGCAGTGACGAAGCGGTAGCCCACGAGCAGCTCGAGCACGTGACCGTCAGCGAAGGCGCCCCGCGGCTGGGTGCAGCTGCGCGTGGGGTCCAGCAGCACGGTGGACAGCGGCACGCGGCTGAGCTTGAAGCTGTTGCGGTTGCGGCAGTTGTGGGTGCCGCGGTTGGGCATGGGGTTGAAGTCGGCCTTGATGACGTTCAGGTGCTGGGGCGTGAGCAGCAGCCAGTAGGGGATGGCGGCCGACTTGACGGCCTCGGAGGGCGCGCAGCAGGAGCGCCGCACGGCCGAGCAGAGCGTGCAGCTGGCCCACTCGATGTTGCCCGAGTAGTCCCCGGCGGCCGTCCGCACCATGCGCTTGTCGCTGTAGACCAGGTAGACGGGGAAGCAGCCCTGGCTGCGCTCCTGGCCACCGCCGGCCACCTTGTAGAAGGTGAGCAGCTGGCGCAGGAACTCCTGCAGGCTGGGGGGGGCGGGCCGTAGAGGACGGGGCTGCACAGCATGGCCATGTGCTGCGGGGCGAAGCAGGAGCGCAGGTCCGCGTGGAACTCGTGCAGGCTGGCGGCGTCCGAGATGATGAAGAGCGTGTTCTCGCTGTGCCGCACCTTGAGCACCAGGCACAGCTCGGGCATGAGGAAGCCGAACTCGGTGAGGTCGCCGTGCGGGAAGCAGAAGACGAAGCGCAGGGAGGACAGGATGTGCTGGCTGCTGCCGCGCGACTCCTGGTGCGGGATCTCGAAGACGGCAATGCCGAAGTCGGTGAGCACCAGGCAGGCGGCGAACTGGCGGATGCTGCCCTGCACGTGGATCAGGAAGCACCAGAGCACCTTGAGGATGCGGATGTGCTCCAGCAGGAAGTCCTCGTCCGCGCCCAGGGCCCACTCCAGGGCCAGGCGCTCCTCCTCCGCCTCTTCATCCTCCTCCTCCTCCTCCTCCTCCTCCTCCTGGCCTTCCTCCCCCTCTTCCTCCGCATCCGGGGGCCCCATTTCAAAGTAGCGGTTCTCAGCCGCCTCCTCCTCTTCCTCGCCGTGCTCGCCCTGGCCCGCCTCCCGCTGATTGGCGGCCTCCATCCCGGCGCCGCTAAATGGCCTGCCGGATCAGCGTGCTCAGGCGCTGGATGAAGTCCTGGTTGGTGGCGGTGTAGCCGATGCAGGTGAAGGGCAGGAAGATGATCTGGCCAGACCCGGGTACCACCTGGACCTCCGGCTCTGTGTGTTCCGGGCTGCGCAGGGAGAGGTCAGGTTAGTGAAGTGCTGGTGGGGACATCCTTGCTCCCATGTCCAGAGCCTGCAGCTGTACTCTGGCCCCAAGGAAACAATGGGTGGGGTCCCAGGCCTACACAGCCAAGCCTATTCCCAGAACAAGGGCCCTGGCTGGGACCATAGTGCTGGCAGCTGGAAGGCTGGGGTGGCCAATCCAGTCTGTGCCCACACTGGCAGGGGCTCTGGCCACAGCGTCCACCTTAGCCTTCCTGGCCCAGGCCACACTGGTCCCACAGTCAGAGAGTACCTCAGACTCCGGGCCACTCATCTGATGCCACGCACCCTGCCTGTAGAGAGTCATTCCCTCAGGTGGGAAGTAGCCAGTGGCCTCCGGGGTAGAGCAGTGGGCCGGGGTGGGTCTTACCACCTGCACGTTTATACCTGGCTCCTCTGGGCTGCCACCCTCGCATGCGGAACAAGGTCCGTAAAAGTCTTCTGTAAAGCGTCAGAATTAGTACCTTAAGATGCATGGGCGCCCCATCCACATAATCTCCTTTTCTTAAAGAGACTTTTGCCTTAGGGCACGTGTGCTCACGGGTAGGTGGGGACAAGTGAGAGTGACAGAAGCAAAGTGAGAAGTCATCCCCCCAGGATGTGGCCATGCCACAATCCCTTCTCCATTCTCCTCATGGACTCTTACACACGCACACACGTGTGCCTCACGTGATTTTCAAGCCACCAGGTTTGGGACTTGAACTGTGGTCGGCCTTGTGGGAGTCCAGTGACGTAACCACTATGCCATCTGCTGGCCCCTCTTTTCCTTTTGTAATAGTCCTTTAAGAAAGTAAAACTCTTCTTTTTTTTTCCTTTCAACTTACCAGATGGTGCATGTGCTTGCCAGAGAGAGGAGGGGAGACACTCCACAGTGGGGTGGGGTGGCCACACCAGACCCCCCACTCTCGTCCTGCCAGGGTTTGGGGCACATGCAAACACTGGCAGTTTCTCGAGCTGCTGAGGCCTGAACTGCACACTCAGCACGTGCATTCCAGCTCCCCTGACCGCGAGGCCACTAGGCTACTCCATAAACACCTTCCTTAGCTCACAGCTGTATGACCCTGCTAAGGCCCAAACTGGCCTTGTTCTGCCACGCCCTAGTCAGGACGACCTGTGTGAGGGGACAACAGTGACCGGGGTCTAGACACAAACTGGAGTCTTATCTCATCTGCGTTTGAAGAACGGAGTCACTCTGTAGGACGCATATGAACAGACCAGGAGCAAAATCCAAACGGCCACCAGGAGCCTGCACCCCCTCCTCACCTGGCCCCACCAACAGCTCCAGGCACGTCCCTCACATCCTCGGAGGCTGCCTGATAGAGAAGAAAACACAGTCAGCCCTCACCTGCTGCCGCTGTTCCCTGGCACTTGCTGGGAGCCAGACCTTGAGCCGGCACTCTGCCCTGCTCACCACACCCAGACCCTCCTGGGGGTGCACTCTAGGGCCTGGAGGGGCAGAGGCTCATCCAGTTATCTGCCAGTCCTGGGAAGCCTAGCCCCGTCTAACCCAGGGCCAGACCACCTGGACACCCTCTGGTGGTCTGGCACCTGATGGCTCCTTGTGCCACCTGATGGTCCAGACAGTTTCCCCATCAGGTCTGGCCCTCACTGGCCAGCACGGAGCACTGAGCAGGGCTGCAGCTCTGACAAGTCCCCTCTGATCTCTGCAGTGAGGAAGACCTGGGGCTTGGGCGCCCCTAGCTATGACCCTGGGGAGGGTGAAAGGAGAGTGCTATGGAGTGCTGGGGACAAAGGAGGACTTTGCAAACCACCTCAGTGTCACGTGGCAGGACCCTGAGCTGCTAGAGATGAAGGGGGAAGCAGGCCCAGCACCAACCCTACACCCCGCCAACATGGTCAACGAGCCTCTCTTGCTTGTCTCCCTGTTATTCCCAGGACATGGGAATGGGCTCTGGAACCATTATCCAGAGAGGAGGGGGAGTCACACCGTGTCCCCAACTACCAGCGTGACACATGGCAAGGGACAGAAAGGCCTCAGAAGTGTCAGGCAGCACGGGAGAAATTCTTCTCGGGTTTGGGAGCTGCACAAGCTCCCCAGCAAGGACCTTCTGCACTGCCCTCTATCTGCTCACGTGGGCTCAAGGGTCACCTGTCCCCAGGGTCCAGTGAGAGAACTGCTTGTCTCCATGGGGGGAATGACCCCGAACTGCAGGGATGGTCAGGAAGCCTCACTAACATGTCCAGGAGAGAAGGCCGTGCAGACAGAGTGGAGGACACAGCTGCCACACCCCGCCAGCCACTCCCTCCTGCAGACAGCCCTTGGGCGCTCGGGCAGTCGGCCCTGGGAGGTAGGTCCCGGTCCCCTGAGGGCCGAGGAGGGCATTACCTGTCCCACAGGGAGGGACTCCAAGGAATCGGAGCAGCCCCGGGCAACGGGCCGGTCCTCAGGAGTCAGACTGTCGGTGGACGAGAGGCTGCTGGCCAGGGCCTCCTCCTGCACGAACATGATTCCTGGAGAGATGGGCAGGCAGGGCGGAGAGAGCAGCCAGTCAACACGCTGGGTTGGCCCTCGGGGTACTGGCTGGGCCGGGGCGGCAAGCCCCCCC